TCCTCACGTCATCAAGGAAGTGCTGAAATAAATAAACATTTGACAGCAGCAACATTTCAGGTCCGTCACCAGGTTAGTGCTGCTGTAATTCTCGAGCCTTCAGGACACAAACCGAAAATCAGGCCGCAGAGTCTCCTTGAACCGGATCATATCCACCAGTCAACGGAGGCCTTTGGGACCTGCATCAGAACAGGCGCAGCTGCGGTTGCTAGTATCCAAACGCTCCCATCATTAACAAACAGCCAGACGGAAGCCTCCTCACTTTGTAATGACTGATTTGTTTTGCCAGTGAGTTCAAACCACACTGCTGAGCTGCTGCCACACGTGTGTTTATTTACTGCCTGCATTTACACTCCAACACTGAAAATATACACCCCGTAGGTTAGCCTGAAGCTTTTACTGTGGAAGTAAAATACATTTGCATTTAATCTGCTTCGCTTCTATCAGTCTGATACTTGAGGTCACCTTGGCTCCACAGCGTGGCCTGTAACCAGCAGCCCGGGAGCTTTGTAAAACAGTCCTTATTGAACCAAATAACCCCATGAATGATTTTCTGTTTATTAGTGGAAAAGTCCAATTTATGGTGAATTATTAGAAGATGTATATGCAGGTGGAACGCAGCTAAAACGAGATTTGCGAGTTAAAAAATATTGGCCATTTTCAGAGAATTTAGAAACTATAAATAAATGTCAAATATCCTGAATCTGAAATCGCCTACATTTTACCTCCTATCAGGTTTTTCTTCGGTATCTACTTATCAATTTATTTAGCATTACCAGTGCTAATAAATCACTCCAATTAAAATCAAACAGATGACACTTTATTAAACAAACAAAATGTAATGCCTTCAAAATAGTTTTAACAAATAAAACAAGATGAATAAAATAAGTCAGTATAGGCTATAAGGTCCCCTCTAGCTCTACACAAGAAATGGGACAATTAAAGGCAGCAATAAGAACTCTGGAAAAACGTGTACGTGTTTGGTCCTGGACATCCAACCACTCCATTTTCCTAAAAAATAAATTAGCTACTATATTAGGCTATAATTTACAGTCTGTTATAAAAGCAGGTATTTGAGCCATCGTTCTAAACAAGTCTCAAAGTGAGAGGGAAGAACACTTACGTGTTTTGGTGTTACACACGCCTCGACAACAATCTGTCCATTCGGAGTGTAAGAGACCAAAAGTACAAAAAGTATAGAAAATATATGTTAGAGTTGTTAATTTAAAAGACACGTTTGGCTTTCAGAACTTGCTGCAGTCATAAACAAAAGCTCCTGAGGTGCGGTAGATGGACTGGCCGGACGGGAAGGCCATCTGACAGCTATTATTCCCGTTGACCGGGGAGCCGTTCAGCCCGATTCGCTGGGACTCGAACATCTCCCGCACAGAGTGGAAGTTCTGCTGCTGCTGGTAACCCGGGCTCAAGTGACTCAGGTCCCCGTACCAGGACGCGAGCCGACCCTGGTGCGCGTGGTGGCCTTCCTGGCCCGCCTGGCTCAGGTTGCCATGCCCGAGCGGGGACGCGGTGGTCGTTGTGATGCAATAGTCGGGCAGAGCCTCCTCTACCGTGGTGGACGGTGCCAGGTGGCCGCCGGATGACCTGTCCCCCGCGTACAGACTCATGGCTTGCATGTTGCAGTGATAGGTCGCGTTGGAGTTCGTGGAGATGACGTTCTGGTTGCAGGTCGTCGAGCTGTAACCGGATGTCTGGTTGGGGGAATAGGTGAGTGACAGTGAAGGGGTGATACCTGTCCGAGAGGAGGCGATGAGAGGCGGGGAGAGCTCGGCCTGCGGAGACCCCCGCAGGGAGGTCATTATATTATCCACGCTGAAGCCCTGCACCGGGGCCTGGCCGTGGTGCTGATGCTCGGGTCCGTCCATGCTAAGGGAGCGGGTGGACGGCACGCTGTGCGGACTTCCCGCTGACAAGCTGCTGCTGCTGTCAGGACTCTCGATCTTGGGTACGGCGTTCAGGGTTGGAGACTCGGCCTGCGGCGGGGTGGAGGTCCCGTTCTCAGTCTTTATATCCTGGATTCGCACCGGCTGGGAGCTCTGCACGGGCGGGTCCTGCTCCTGGCCCGGGGTGCGAGAACAGGGGTCCTTACTTGGCCTGTCCCGATCCTCCTTTTCCCTCTGCACGTCCTTCTTTTTGACCCTCCCCGCCGCAGGAAGCTGCCGTTCTCGAACATGTTGTAGGAGTCTGGGTCCAGGGTCCAGTAACTGCCCTTACCGGGCTTTTTATCGTCCCGTGGCACTTTGACAAAGCACTCGTTGAGGGACAGATTGTGCCGTATGCTGTTCTGCCAACCCTGCTTGTTGTCCCGGTAGAAGGGGAACCTCTCCATTATAAACTGATAAATCCCGTTCAGGGTGATCTTTTTCTCCGGTGAATTCTGGATCGCCATGGTGATGAGGGCGATGTAACTGTACGGCGGTTTGACCATGTCCTTCGGCTGGTGCTGAGGGGTGTACGGTCCGTACGCCCGGGCCATGCTGGTCGGGTACTGGTCGTGGGCCGCATGGGAGTACATGCTCATAGGCGCAGGCATCCCGGTGTATCCACCCCCGGCGCGGTAGTAGCTCTGGTCGCTGCTGATGTACGGTACAACTCCCAAAGAATTGGGACTGGAGACAGAGTAGCGCGCCTGCATCCTGCGCAATGCGTAAAACTTCCCCAAACTGCTTCCCCCCCAGAAACTTTCACAGCTCTTGCTTGTACTCCGATTCTGTTAAAGTTCCCTTTCCGTTTTTAAGCCACAGCTCGCCACGGTGAGCCGAACAGAGCACACACTGCTGCAGTCAACATTTGGGAAACTAAGACGGCGAAAAGTCAAGCTTGACGAGTCTAGAGAGGAGGGAACTTTTTTTTTTACCCTTCACATT